ACTTTACTACTGGATTCTTGTTTTCTCTGTGATTTCTCTCGCAACTTGATCTCATTAATCTAAATCGACCAAATAAAACCATTTTTCTCTGTAATTCTTTTGTAAGGTTTCATTAATAAACCTATTCTCAGCTTTTAGTAATGAGATCATCTGCAGTGATAAAAAGCCAAGTACATGTTACTTTTGCGATGAAATTTTCCATAACTCACACCTTTTTAAATATAAAAAACTAATCTCGCTCATAAAGAAAGTTTTCAAGAATAGCAGTAATAATATATGTACTCGCGTAATTTCTTCAATAACTGTTTATCATTGCTTATGTATATATTCGGAAATCCGTTTTCTTTTGTAAGCGACTTAAACTGTCAAACTTAAACCTTCAGATACCTCCTTGTTGAACTCGACATCTACGATAATACTTTTTAATAGTTAAGTCAACAATAGTGTCAAACTTTCTTACAAAGTAGCATTGTTATCTTTCTTTCCTCCTTTCTTTTTTTTCTTTTTTCTTTTTTCTTTCTTTTCATTTTTACATTTTATGTCTGACAATCAAAAACATGTCATATCAATTACTAAACAATTAATATATTTTATTTTATGCTTTGGCAATTTTCTCGTTCTCTTTTTTGATTTATGTTAGTTTATTTAATCCTATTTATGAATTAATTTCTCGCACAGATTGCTAATTCGGATTCTAATTTTGTTTCTCTATATTTGAGAGAAAAAGAAAAAAATAGAGATAAGCCTCTAAAATAATTTACATGGAAGATACAAGAGATAATTTCGAAAATATCACGCATCAAATAACAATTACTTTATCATATATGTAATAATTTGCAACTTCTCGTTGAAAATCTCCTCGTTAATCCTATTTGCTAGTTTTTGGAAATTAAATGACGGCACATGTATCGAGATTGACTTTGTTTTGTTCGTTTGTTTCAAAGCTCATTTTCGCAGGTTGATGTTGATTTGCAGAATTTCATTAGCAGGTACGAGAGATAATTCTGCTATGGTTCGTACTTCGTGCTCTTCGGCTGTTCTCAACACATGTTTATTTCTCACCGTTAACAATTTGACCGCTATAGCAGTTTAATTCAAGCGATAAAACAGCTTAATACCCACACGAATAAACTATTGTAAGCTATAAACGGAGCTTTATCGGGAGTAACGCTAATATATGTGGGAAAGTTGTGGAACTATCATTCGAAATGAGATTCATGCTCGTTACATGCTTTCGCAAGATATATGCGATCCATTAAATTATATGCAAATGGCAGGCCTCCCCCTTCTCTTTCCTCCGTATGCGGATATACGTAAGACAGAACAAGGTGGAAGAAGAATAAAGTACTGCATAAACTTGCGAGATATAAATATAACGGCAAGTGAAAAATAGCACGTATAACATTCTAGTAGCCCGTTCATTTACCTATATAACTTAGTAACTGATGTGGTCTTTCTTGAGGATATATTAGAACGAATAAAAAGAAATGGCTATATTTTATTTTCGCAATTTTCGTCAGACTGTTAATTCTTTAGCACAATTTTTCATTTAATTAAGTTCTTCGCTGTGATATATAGCTCTCGCTGTTAAATACTACACAAAGATATTTCTCGAACATTTATTTTCTTATCATAAGAGTAAAATACACGTATGTCATGTAGTAGTTACAAGACATTCTATGGTTTCAGCTTCTTCAGCCTTGAGAAAACCCATTAATACAAGTTGCGGTGCACACGAGAATTGCGACGCACGTGCCTCGCTTGTTAGTTTTCCCTAAGTTCCACTCCGGTTTTACGTATGCCTCATTAATTACTGCCATCGTCTTCCAGCACTCGGCTAAATGGCCGTAGCACGATTCGACGGAGTCCGCTTATTACCGTCACGCTCCTTGCCGTCGCTCATTCAAGAAGTTCAAGTCTCGAACCGTATTATTTCCGTGCGAGGGATCGCAAAAAGAGATTCACGCTTATCCGTCCTTTGGCGGTGCTATTGATTTTTTCAATTCATTAATATCCTCCTGAGCTGCGGCGCTGCCTTTCGAAGCGAAAATTGATCGATAACGCATAGCCGAGTATTTTATCATATTTTACGCGATGGCATTTTGCGATCACAAATTTGCGCTCGTTGCCATCAAAGTGGCTAATTAAACCAGGGGGGCTTTGATTTATTTTTCTGTTCTCCTAGCGGGCATCCGATAAATCGTTCATCAGTACCATCGGGGAATGTGACGGTAAATTACTTTTTACGCCGCATAATTAATTGCAGCCCTAATAATTTGGCTTGTTTACACGGTGCACGTAGTCAAATGTGCGTCATGCGTCCTACGTTTGCAAAATTTGTGATTAATCAACGCCCGCGATATCCCCAGTAGTGTATAACCAGAAACATTGGACTGATATGTGCGTAATGTATTTGACTAATCTGATAATATTAATCTCATTTTTGTAAAATGTTCATGTTACTCTCGGAATACTCTCTGTATAACGCCCGCTTGAAAATTATTAATTCGTAGGTGTAAGTAGGCGTAAATAATTACACAGTGTCCGCAGCGTCACTACTGTGTTCTAATCAAAGAGTAGATATATTAATAACAATTAAATTTAAATTTCTATATTAAAATATGTATGATTTCTCCGAATCGGAATAAATTTTATTCTTTTTGTGTTCTTATTTATTTAAAACAAGACGAGGTCGAAATTTATTTTTTATTTCAAATACGCAATTGTTAAACATTTAATGATATCAGAAAAATACTTTATGCATAAAATTCAAACTCCACATTTTCTTGTCAACTTAAACCGATCTAAAGTTTTAAATGAATCAGTCAGTACGTGATTATCGGCTGAGGGAATTCGCAACATGATAGATACCGCAAAGCGATGAATTTTGCAAGGAAGTTTCGATCCTCGTATCTCGATACCGTTCGAACATTGGAATATTAATGTCCCGGGGAGAAAACTAAGGGAGAGTCGGAATGATCACGAAATATTCGGACCTATCTGGCAAAGGACCGACGCGGCGTGTCAATTCCGCTAGATACACGGTATATATTTCACGTAGGGTATATTCGTCGCGACCTCACGATACAACACACACCTCTCGGTTCTCAATGGACGCACGTGCACCGAATTCGGCCGACGGCCATTATTCTCCCTACGCGGGCACAATCCTGTTGCATTTCGTATTCGGCTGCAGCGCGGCTCCGCGGCGACGCACATCGTCCTGAAATCCAAACTTGATCCCGCAGCAGCACGTGCTGGAATACAATTTGGTCCTAGTCGAGTAGAGAATGCACTCTCACGCCCGGATTTGTCGAAGGATTAAAGTAGTTTACTCGGTTGTCGTTCAGCCACGATAGATCGGAACTGAAGTGGACCAAGTGCGACTCCGGACGGCTTTCGAGTTCGTGCCGAACTCTCCGTCGACGTTTATGCAAGTTGCGAGCTCGCCAACTTTATAATCGCCAGAGTGCATTAATCTGCCCGCCCAGAACATTAGGGTTACCAATAAATGATCGATTACGAGCGATTAGGAAATATAATTTTTAATTGAAAGGTGATTGAATGAAAAAAAGTTATAACGTTAAAGCTAAACACACTTTGAACTTTTCTCTTTAACAAATAAAAAATATTATGTTCGATTGTAAAATAACGAAAATACTTCCTTGTTGTATATATTGTATTTCTCTTTTTCGTATTTTATATATTTTTACTATTTTTATGTGAATTAATCGAAATATTTTTGTTCAAAATAAAACATAGTTCTTCAGAAAAGAGAGGGAAATCCATCTACGATGGTTTAACATTTTTGTTTACATATTCATACGATGTGTTGACAAGCTGTAAAACATGCGCTGATATATCTAAAGTTTTCAAATATTAACACACAAATCAGTCGTCGATGAACGAGCGCAAAGACAAGATGGAATAAATTATGACGTTTTTCGATAAAAGATCGATAAGATAGCCATCCATGTGTCAATGGAATATTGTACGTATCTCTATATTTGTGCGACTATTTTGTGTTTATGCCGTGTAATGAGAACAGCTTGTTGTGTTTTATTTTCTAATATAAAAGAGGGAGAAATCCGCGCATATATACATATATGTATCAGGTTTTCGAATATCAATACACAAATCAGTCGTCGATGAACGAGCGCATAGATAAGTAAATTATTATGTTTTTCGGTGGAAAAAAAGATTAATGTGTGTCGTTGGAATATTGTACGTCTCTCTATCTTTCTATATACGTGGCTATCTCATGTTTATGACGTGAAATATTTGACAACAGCTGGTTGTGTTTCATATATTCCAATATAATGACATGCATGCATAATATTTGCAATGCATTATACAATGTATAAATATTTTAAATACGAGAGAATAATTACATATTTTTAGCGATTATATTATTATTCAGCATATATCTGATATCCATAGTCAGAAAATACATCTTTTTTGTAGCGAAATATTAAAAGTAATTTTGTAAATCGATAAAAACTAATGGCTTGATTAGTTACATATATTTTGTAATAGTATTACAAAATATATATGTTTCAATAGCATCGTAACGAATCAAATTTAATCCGATTTATGAAAAATTATATCTATAATTAAGACTGGTATTATATTACTCATTTATTAATGCGTGATTATTAAAACGAACGAAGAAAAGTACACGTGTAATTTCTATCAAAATTTCCGTAAATAATTGCTTTTCTGATTCAAACTGTCTATTTGAGAATAAACACAAAGAGCAAAAATATGTTATTTCCGGCATTGTTTACTCCTGTTGTATCAGGAATAATTAAATAGCCTCTTATTATGTTTTTTTCCCCGAGAAAAAACCTCTCGTCGAGACGCGTATCGAGAATCTTTCCCCTCGTATCTCTTCGTAAATACACTTTGACAAGGGTTGCTATTATTTGTAGCTCGCACCCTCCGGAATAACGCAGAGCGAGCTGTGACTGATATTCGATTTTTTTCATTCTTTGTCGCAGAGAGCCTTTGCGGGCGTCACGAAAAACGCTTATTGAATCACCTGCTGGCAAATTACAACACCTTGGAGCGGCCGGTCGCGAATGAGAGCGAACCGCTGGAGGTAAAGTTTGGCATCACTCTGCAGCAAATCATCGACGTGGTGAGTCATTGAGTCTTTTTTACCTTCGCATATTTTAAATTTATTATACCTTACGCGCATCATAAAAAAAAACATATATTTGTTTATAATACAATAGCAGATGCATGAAAGAAATATTGCATCTGATTACAGGTGTAAAACATTATATTTGTATTTAAAGAGTACTTATGTTTTATTTTTTTTGTCACCTTTTATTGTAATTTATTAGTAAACATTATATTAAAGAATATTTTTTTTTATATATGACTTTCTGTCCAACATAATTTGAATTTTTATATTTACTGCTCTTAACAGCCTTTTATCAAATTTAGTAAAACATTAGCTTAATATTTTTATGAAATATAATAGAAATAATAGAAGAGATGCCAATAATAGAAAAACCCATTTTTTAAATATTGTGCTCACATAATTAAATGAGCAAATATATAATATATAAATGATATAAACTATGAAGTCACCAGATAATAATTAAAAATGGTAGTAATTGAATATATAATATATAGTTTAGTTTTAGTATACACAACTTCCAAGCGCTCCTCTAATCTTCCGCGACTCTTTAGTAACTTGAATATGAACTGATTATAGTCAAAATTTAAATTTTTGATAGTGAATAATTACACGCGCAACAGCGGGTAGCAACCACTAACAAAGTCGATTATCTGAGGTATATTTAAGATTAGCGCGATTGCGGATATGCTCCGAATCTTAAAAGGTGAATATTCATTATAAGGTGGTTATTCTGGAAACCTTTGCGTGAATCCTCGAGATAAGAAGTGCCAAGATTAGCCGCTCAAGTTTTTGCACGCCAAAATATCGAGCTTATCTAAATGAGAGCGCGGTTAACGGGGGGACGAATGAGGCAAGATTGCATTACGTTCTCCATCTTCGCTCCTTCTTACCGCGACTATTTACTTCCATCGTCATTATATACAGCTCCCTGTACACGCAATATATAGCGCGAACATTAAAACGGTTCCGAAGGAAAGATGTAAAAACGCGGCCGTAATAAAATGTGCTCTCAAAACAAAAAGAATCCAACATGGAGCGTCATTAATTCTGTATTTAAGGAGATTTTTAGTCTACAAGATGTTTCCAGAAAAAGTTTATACGAAACTTTTTACGCGCATTATTTCTCAAATTCTAAGAAGAGAAACGAAATTGTATGTAATCCAATCTTACTCGAGAAATAAAAATAATTATGTAAATAAATTTAGTATACGTAAAAATGCATTACAAATTGCATTTAATTCGGAATATTTGGCCTGGACAAACACTTCGTGAAAAGCGTCAAAGCAAATATCACTTCTTGGCAGGAAAAATATTATTTTTCGCGCGCTCGCCAAATGTCAATAAATTCTATCCTTGCAGCTTTTTGTTTTCGTAGTAATCGAATATAAATTAATTTTTTAATTAATTTTTTATCAATACCGTTAACACTTTTCAATTTCTGATGCATACATATTATAACAAGTACCTAAGTTTGAAATTGCGCGCACATCGAATAATCCCCAGGAAGTTAGAAAATCATCGATATTATTCTAGTCCAGTGAGGGTTATCGTGACCCGTATAAATAAAATCCCGATTGATCAATATTTAATAGACATAACGAATGAACGGCATTCAAGCGTTCGCGTTAAGGATTTATGACGCGAAAGCTTTTTTGCTCCTCGATCACAATTATAAATTGGCCGAAGGAGATACATCGAGGTGCTCGCAATTCACTTCCATCCTTGTCAGTTTGGGAATGGGAATAGAAATAATATATAACCCGAATTAAAGAAATCTATCAGGTGTATTTTCTGTCAAAATATTCGCATATTCGACATTAACTTTCGAAGGAATATATCCGTCACACGGAGCCTCTCTCTTCCGCTACAGGCTTCTATAATGTTTTACTCGCAACGTGAAGATTAAGAATGTTTTCTATTTCTCAAACGTGTTTAATCTGCGCGCTTAAAGTTTATTCGGATACTTCGCTTACTAGATAGAATCCCTCCGGCTACAATATAATAGATGTATCTTTAGTACACAACTCGATTATAGAAAGTACATGCTGTATCTATAGCAACACACCGCGCTGGCTCTTTTTTTCATTTATTCGCAAAGAATGTGATTATCTGGATAACAATAACGCGCGCGCGCGCGCGACACAGTTTATCTTTTTTTATTCAGTCTCATGTATTGTTAAAACTGTCATTATTATACTCCATCCAGTTTTCCTTTTAGAAGTTTATATGATCTAATATATATTTTCAGTATGTGTGTGTGTGTACCTATATGTGCATGTGTGAGTGGGTGGGTGTAGGTGTGTAAAAACAAAAGACTACTATGTGTTCTGGACGTTAAGAGCGCGGATGTTTCCGAGACGGAGCTCTCTTTCTTTCTTTCTAGCAAAACATTCCATTACATCTCCCGCTTGCCACTCTTGTATCAGCGTCGTTTCGTTAAGTCGCATAGCTCAAACTGACTGAGGTTTTTGCCGCCGCCTCTGCTTTTCAAAGTAGCATTGCCTCTGGAAACGACGGGCATCTCTTTCTTATCGGTCGCAAAACCGCTACAAGAAACTCAGCGTCCTCTTAATGAATTAATTCATAAATCTTAGTATCAAAATATTCACTACATCTCAAGTTTCTTTCGATGTTGTGTGAATAAGATTCTTAAACTATTTTTTTCTATAATTTACACGCGATATTTATTATTTGATATTTTGTTATTAGAATGCAGAATGCTATCATAAATATTTTGATGATTTTGAATAATATTCTTTTCAATTTAAATTGTTTAAATTTTGATTGTTAATTTTCTCATTAACAAAATTTAATAATATGAACAAAATTTAATATCATGAAAATTTATTTTGTTACCATTACTAAATTGCAAATTAGTTGAATTAGGTAAATTGAATGCAGAGAGATTAACACGCGATTGTTTAAAAACATTATTTATGAATATAAATACTTTAATAACCAAATAAATTGTAGTTATGTTTTATAGTATTATTTTTCTAATTACTTTTCATAAAACCTATTCAATTATAAATAAAATTATACAAATGCGTGACTTTATAAATAAATTGTATTTAAGGCTGCATTAATATGTTTATTTAATTAGTGTGCTGTAATAGCAATGATAAGTAGACAAAAATATGGTATAACGGAAAACGGTCAGTTTCAATTTAAAATTAATTTCAACACAGTTAATCCTGTTTCGAATTTGCAAACATTCTCTATCGATTTTATAAATATAAGAGTATTAGCCGAAAAAGTTTTTCGTCGCTACATTTAGCTTAAATAATGTACACTTTTATTTAATCGCGAAATTGAGATGTGAGACCTTCCGTAAAAGCGAAGCCCCTTTAATTCATCACGAGATAGAAAAGTGAAAAAGTTCATAATGGCAAGAATTCGACTCCGATGTTAGTACAGGGTACGCGAAACAAGATCAACAAAACTTTCTGCACTCGCAAGGCAAGGCAAGTAAGCTGAATCTAATCACATTTTCGTGTAGTCGCACACAAACAGTCACGCGAAACAGCATTGATATTTTATCCGGAGAGTATTTGACTTTCGAAATTGTGGCTTATATATAAAAAACATGAACCTTTTCCGGATATACGTGACCTTTATAGTATTTTCTGCATTGTTATACAGTATTCGACGCGCGATTTTTATTATCTTTTCGAACAAAGCAGTGGAAGATAATATTGAAAGTGTCGCGAGATCCTCTTTCTTCCTCTTAATTTCATTTCCAAATTCTTCAGCGCGCTATAAACTTTTTACACTTCACGATCGTAAATATTTGGCCGCTTAGTCGCGGGTTTTTCTCCTTTCCTTCCCGTGATCGATAAAACATCGACTCGTACTACTGTCCGCTTACTGCTACTGCTGCTATGGAATAAGACGTTCATATCTCACAAAAGAAAACATTTTCATTGTTTTCGTGCTTACTGTGTCAAGAGATATACGATATATTATTTTGCAAAAAGTACGTCAAATAATACGCTTTGCAAATCAAAATAGAATAAAATTATATTCTAAACTTTTAATATTATTTTTATATTTTCTCTTCTTTTTGAGGAAAAACAACAAAAATTGCAAGTATAATATTATAGCAAAGGCGGACGATATATCAGCGATGAGGTGCGAGGTTTTGTTCATGTTTTGCACATATGCAACTTGTGTATTACGTGACCGATATATGCGTCGTGAACTTTTTACGTCGCGACACGTTGCATCGATTAATCATAGCGATATATTGCAGAAACTCTTGTTCCGAAACGGCCGCGCCCTTCCGCTTGACGAATGTTTATGCACTTTGTCAGCGTCTGATGACGTTAATTATCTTGATTAATTGCTCGCCCTTAATTAAGACTTCTCAGTTCTCTGTATGTATAAATTATCGCGACGACACCCGGATATTCACATGAACGGCATAGATTTGAAATCCGAAATGTGAAATTCATAGAAATCCAATCTGATACATTCCATTCATCGCGGAACGAAAGAAATGCAGTATTCATTGTTACCGCCATTGTCGGCCGCGAAATGAAACTCTTGCCTTTCATCGATCAGAAATCGCGTATTTTATGTATCTCCCGCAAAGTCCGTCGAATAATGTCGACGTCCGAATAGGGAATCCGTATGCCAATTTCGCGTCATTTCAAACGGGAAAGCGAACCGTGAAAAAAATTTGCACTTTTTTATTCATCCCGGGTTTCGCTTTCAGCTGAGCTCAGCGTGTCTGATCGATTGTTATACACATTACGTCGACACAGCATGTATAACACGAGAAAAAAAAACGTATTACACACAAAGCACTTTAAATTTAATATTACATCATCACTGCCTACTAGTAGAAGCGAAAGAATATTTACAGGAATTTAAAAAAAAATGATTCTAGATTGAAAAAAAAAATGGAAAATTTTGCTTTCTTCTATTCTTTCGTACGAAAAGGAAATTAATTTCTGTTCATTTATTACATTGACTATTTGATATTTACAAAAAGATTGTAACAACTTTGTAATGTCAACTCATGGTGACATCTCATGGTTTTTGAAACAGAAATTAATTCATAGCATCGCTTCGTAATTTTGTTCTCTTTTACTCAAGCTGACACCGCCTGAGAGTGATGAGCGCAGAGAGTGATTGCACTATACATATACCGTAAGTTTTTAGTCTTTGTCGCAAGGTGCAATTACGTTGCGCCAATGAGTCAACCATGACAAAACGCATCCGTGTGACCCATACATAAAGAGCACCGACGTAGCGGAAACGGAAGTGCGCCGAGAGAAGATGTGAGAGAAACGCGTGGGCTATGCATAACCGTTGCACAACCTTTGTCACGCAAAAACCTTCGTCATTAGATTTTAGAAAAAGCAAAAGAAATTTGAATGGCAAAAATAATAATGGGATTATTTTCGGTTAATTTTAGTACTTACTAAAATTTTACTAAAATTTTATTGAATTATCTCGCAGACATCTTTCGGCGTTCTTTTCATAAAGATAAACTGTGCAAGTAAGTTATTCGCAAAGATAATTATACCGTGTTTGAATTAAAATTTTTATTCGGTGCGGAATATAATTTTGTTTACAAAGTTCTCGTTCAACTACGAATATATATTTTTCAAATATACTCTTCTAAACTTCGAATAGATTGAAACAATATTTCTGTTTACATGATGAGGAGATTGCGATTTAAAATTGCACATTCTTATGCAATTCTTGATAGAACTTTTTAGATTGATCTTTTTATTTTATTCGATGCGGCAGTTATCATTCAAAAATTATAAGATTATATTATATCTATTGTATAAACGCTTCCGACTATGATCGAATGTAAATATTATAATAAATTTTAATGGACAATGCAAAAATACATTAAGTTTACATGTAGTCACATTTCATATTTTGTTTGGTATTACATTGTTGCGAGTATATATTATTAAATAAATATTATTTTTACTTGTTTATTCATATTTTTCGATCTTCTCGAAAATTATTTGTCAATTTCTTCTCGTTATACAGTGAAGTGGAGTAACAAATTCAATTATACGACTGTCTATGAGATTTGTCTATCGACAACAATACCGAGAAACTACATTTATTTTATAAATCACTTTGCAGCTCTCGATAACACTGCATAAGAGGGGACGATTCTTTTCGGTCGACTTGATCGAAGTCACGTTTGCAGCTAGCAATTTGCGGTTATTGGTTATCTCTTTGACAGGTGTTCTTACGATTGAACTACCCGCATTTTCTTATCGCTGTTTCTGCTTTATCATGATCCTTCAAATTTTTTGTTAACACCACGAATACAAATTTTATACACATGCGCAATTGTCAGTTAGTAGCTTTTATGAAGAAATAAAAAAAGCTTTGACGCGTACACGCAAAAAATGAAATAATAAAAATTCGATTTTAATTTAATTTTTCCTTTCATAATGATTAATAATAATTGTCGACACTCGATTGCGTTATTTTTAATTATGTTAGATATTGCAATACAATAATCGCGTTTTAATATGCTTTATTCTATTTTAAAATTATATGTTGCATGAATTATGGATGTCGATCGAACTCTTTTAAAATATTTTAAAATCTTGTACAATGCACGTCATCGAGTATACCGGTGAAGTTAATCGCACTTTCAACTCATTTTGTGAATAAATATTTGCCGTATGCGTGTGCTGTTTGCTCGCATCGAGCGGAACGTACGAGTGAGTTTGCGCGTCAACGTTGAATGAGATGTGAAGCTATATATTCTCAAATGCATATATTATCAATAGCATCATTTTTGAACAAATTTTCCAACAAAAACAACTTATATTAGAAAATAATGGAGTTTCATAGATAAATGAGAATTTAAGCAATACCATAAAAAGATATAATTAAAAATAGATAAATATCTATTTTTATAAATAAAATGATTCAAGCGTAGGATATTATATTTAAATAACTAGACTTCGGATTATATGCAAATTGCATATTTGTTACTTTTTGCACATTCTACGAGAGCATTAATATTGTAAAAAAATTACAATATTTTCAACTAGTTAATATTAATTAATTGAAAATGTTATAATTTGTTCACTTTAATAATGTTTTTGTAGAATATGTAAAAAGTAACAAATATGCAATTTGCATATAATCAGAAGTCTATATATAACTAAGTTATTCTTTAACAAAAATTAAAGTAAATAAATCTGAAGTTTAATATAAATAATCAAACTCATTAGAAATTTAAAATAATGTAATTATGCATCTCTTTTATTATGCTTATGCTAAAAATAAAAAAATAAACTTTTAATACAATATGAAGCAATAAAAAATTCAGATATGTTGTAGCAATTATGTATATTCTTATAATATATCGTAATTTTTATCATGTTATTTGTATAAAACAATACTGTTTTGTTTTGCAGGATGAAAAGAACCAAATACTTACGACCAACGCGTGGTTGAAATTGGTGAGTAAAATAAAATCTTTTCATTTTCTTCTCTTTTTGCAATTGCTTTATTGCAACCAATTCTTGTAAGAAAAAAATGTAATTTAATATTGAAATTTTAATACTATAAAACTTGCGAGAAAAATTTTGCATGTTAAAGTTTAAAGAGATTTTAAAAATTATAATCATAACAATTTAGATATCAGAGATAAAGTATATAAAAAAACTTTAATCATTTATGTAAGACGCAAAATTGCTTGCGTAATTTTCATTGAGAATTTTGATTAAAAGTTTCACTAGTTCTTAGCCCTAAAATTTTCATATTCTATAGAAAAAAAAACATACGTTAATAAATGGCATCCATTATTTAGTTTACGATTTGTACTTTTACTCTTTTAATGGCTATTAAAAGAGTAAAATAAATACCTACACGAAATGCTTAATTTTTAGAGATAAAGTTTCTAAGCTCTTAATGATATATTTCCTCAACTTCAAATAAACACGAATGTATATGCAATAAACGGTAAATACGTGATTATGTGCATAGATTCCTCTATTCATTTTCATAGCCATACTACGTTGGAGTAAACGACACGTTGAAAATGCGTTCGCGGTAATTCTCTCCGGACGAAATAGTCAGTTAACAGAAAATCAATAACTGTACTGGTTACTTTTCCATCGCCTGCGGTCTTCCCATTTACGAGGGGATGCGTAATATCACTGATAAAAAATACATCTGCCATCGCGCGCCACGAAGAAGCGAAAGCTGCATTAGAGGAAAAAATGCAGCGAAAATTCGAGTGAATATATGCAGTTACGGTCAATAATTACATTTCAAATATGCAATTTTCATAGAATACGAGAAAAGAAGAATTGGGAAAAGGTTTGGTTTTTCCAATTTCTACAAAATCTTTTAAAGACATCTCGCGAATTTAATTAAGCAATTCTACTCTATTTTATTTTTTTTTTTTACTTATTTTGTATAAAAATTGTTTATTCTGCGTCGTTTGTATAAATAATGACGTGAATTAAATTTTGTAAATGTTTCGTTAAAATCTTTAGCCGTACAAATTTCACAGCCTTGCAGTTTCAATTCTGAAATATTAATATTAAATGAGATTCTAGAAAAAGAAAGAGAGAGAGAGAGAGAGAGAGAGAGAGAGAGAGAGAGAGAGAAAAGAGAGATGATTTATTTATAATATAAAAAACAAAAGTATATAAAGTATAATACAAAATGTGTTGTAATAGTAAATTCAATCTTTGTTTATGACAAAAATACAAATGAATAACGTGAAAATGAAAACATCTGTATCAATGTTATAGGGTTAAGTTGAGGTTGAAAATTTGATTCACGTTACTTTTACTTAGAAATTCGTTCACGACACGCAGACCTATTTACGGATTCTCTCGCTATACTATCGATCCTATCGCATGGGCGGACAATCAGTAGATCAGAAACGCGAGAGTGCGGCGGCTGCTATTGTCGTTTCGTCTCGCCGTGCATCGATTGCATTATAGACGAACATCCGTGCGCCAACCACTTCTTCTCCTCAACCTTCCTAAGAAGATGTTCCGTGTTTCCCCTCAGGTGCAAAAAAAAAAAGAAAAGTAAAAGCACAGTATGGGAGTAAGAACGTGAGAATAGACGGGTAAAAGGAAGAGACCGTAAGTAGGTAGGATACGATAGAAGTGAGTTCGAGAAAATCGAGAACGCAAAACGATGCAGTCGGAGCTCCGCGATCTCCTTTTGTCACATTCCGTCTTTTCTCTCTTTTGCTAACCCGTCACACTTCCTTCTCGCCTGTTCTTATTTTCCTCGGCAACGAATTGGAAAAAATGTTGAATATTGCTCATTGTCTTGACATCATCGATCGGGATAAGAGAATAATATAATTAGATGTGTCGTCATTTAGAGTTCATAAAACAGTTTGATAAATCTGCTTCGGATGTAAAATATACATAAAAGCTTTTTAACTACCGTGTCGTTTTTTATTGCAGTATTTATTTGTGCTGATACGTCAAAGCCTGCAAGTAACTTATCTTTTACCGCATGGTAATTAATTATTTACTCTCTTTGCCTTCAATGTTTGCGCGGTTACGAGATAATCCTGACTGGACTTTTTCATCGCGAGTTTTTCACAAGTTTGTTCGTGGTTCCTGAAAAAGGTCGGTACACATTCTGGTTGTAATTAATTTGGGATTTCATCCGGAAAACGCCATGTCTCCTCGCTATAATTCTTATCTCGTTCGTATATGATACAATATCGATCTTCCGAGTTTATAGCTACTTTATTGTCCTCAAAGATTCGACTTCTGATCGGTAAAGAGAAGTCTCTCTCTCTCTTTCGCCTCTTACTTCCGCCTTGACGAATTTCTTTCATCTTTGTTACCTCATGCGACTTCTTTTTCTTTCTTCCCTCTTTTATTCGTATACTTCGACTATATCTTTTTTATTACGTTGTCCTTTTTGCTCGAATTGTTGTACCAGTTGCAATAAAAACGGACAGCTGTAAGATCCTTTTTAATAATATCGAGGCAAAGAAGAGACGGAGCCCGTAAAGAACTCTTCGTTGTTAATTCATTAGCGCGAAGCTTTACTATTGAATCTTGACTTTTTTCATTTAGAAGTATAAGATTTATCTTCAGTCATAGAATAAATCATCAAAAAATATTAATTCTAGACTGAATCTTAACTACCTTCGAATGCAATTTTATTTATTGTTTATTAAAAAATAGTACGATATTGTTGAGGCTTATCTTAAAATGAAATATTATCATCCTCGTCTTATTAGTTAAGATGATGCCATTATATTTATTTCATAAACTATCTTTTTAAGTTGATTAAAAACTTTCAAATTTGTCAAGCTAAATGGAATTTTAAAGCAGTGGAAGTGATCTCATGTTTATTATTAGACAACACATTTATTGACTATACAATATAAACGTTCGTTATTATTCTACTAATTAATAAAAGTAACTGAGATATATACGTACTATAATTTTTAAATTGCGCAAATGCGCGTGTTCGCAATTTCGCAAGAAAACATAATGTTGTAAGTAGGACTCTTATAAAATTTATTATTTAGCAGATCGACTCTCTTTCAGTTCATTGAATAATTCATTGATAGATAGCCGATACGCGCAGCTGCGGTTTCCAGAATAGGTTAATAATATAATGTACTTTATTCGTGCAAATTCATATCAGAGCACCATACGAATTATGATAATATTAATCGACGCTCCAAATCTACATGACAAGTGATAATGTCGACCATAATAGAGAGCAGACATCTTTTGAACATAATGCTCACTTTAAGTAAGTTTCTTATTGTATATTGATTTATAAATTATAATCATGCGTCTGTTAATTCAATTTCATTCTGGATTTCATTAAAGCAACTCATTTAATATTTTATCTTCAGAATTATGAACATCAGTCAAATTATTGTCAAGAATCAATTTTAATCACCTCCAAAATACAACTATATTATTTTCCAGAAATATCGTTATTTCTGTATAAAGTCTTTCGACGAGTTAGTTAATTACTTAATGAAATTTTATTACCGACACGGTAATATTAATTTTACAATTTGTTATTCCAACATTAAATTAAATGTCTTTTTAACTGCCTGTTTGAAATCAATTAAAGATAAAATTTTCATTTTCGCTTATCTGTTTCTGTCGACGATGTAACAGAAGTTTTCTCATCAGGTTTTCTATTCTTTAATACATGAAATTCTGAAGAAGGACAATTGGCAATAATTCTGGAATACATTATCTATGAATATTGCTTATCTCATTTGCGAATAAATAGCTACGCTGGAAACACGAGATGGTACTTCTCGGCAAATAGTGATCCCAAGGTGTTACAGGAACCTGAGAGTTCGTGCAACGTTCTCGAATACGATCGGGAATAACGTAGCTTGCGACACGATGACAAGTGTCCAAATAATTGCGCGTGTGCATCTCGTCGATTCGCCGGGAACGAGATCAGCTACGATATCAGTCGCTTTTACGCGCGAACGTACAAAGAGCCAGACGAAAAGGACTCGACGAGGGAAGTACAGAGGAGACGAAGGGAAGGAGGCAGCCGCACGTAACATCATCACGTATGAACATGTCGCTCGTGTGTTGGCACGATGTAGCAGCGCTAAAATATACGGAGTCGAGAACGTTGTCGCGACATTCACGTTTCAGCACGAGCAGAAACGCCGTCGTTACATCGTACCTATCTCTCGTTACGCTCGCATTTTAGATCAACCGTTTCCGTGCGAGCAATCGACTAGAAACGGCACTAATAATTGAGACTGCAAAATACATGGCTGCAATTACGATCAAATGTTTAACGCGTTAAAGTTTAATGTTATCTATTGTATGCTGGTGACAGAATTACGTTGGCAGCTCTCGACATGCAAAAAATAATTACACTTTTTTTGGGCTCCATAATCAGGCCAAAGTACTTAGAAAATTAAAATGGATAATTCTTAAAGCGTATAATATCTAGATAATACATTAAACAAATAAGGAAGAAAGGAAATAAGGGTTGTTCGTAGAATTAAATTAAAACTTAGATTACAATTCGAGAATCTTTGTTCTTTGAAGATAGCTTGCTTGTTACATTTTATGCCGGTCGATATTTTCTTTAATACCGTTTATTTCCAAAAGCGCAGTCAGATATTGTTATTCAAGTATTTATCGTTGCTATGGTTGTAAGATACAGATGCAATTGGCAACAATGGCGATAAAGAGGAGTAATATCGACGATAACGTCAATTAGATTATTATATTTGGATAAGATAGGTGCTTCAATCGTAGCTCATATATTCTGTCGGTCGTTTAAACTCGCTCAAACTGCGTTGCTCCTATCATACGTCTCTTTCTATCGTGATCTCAGAATGGACCGATTCGAGTCCATTTCGAGATCCAATTTCAAAGTCGGTAAATCAACTGTCAGTAGGTCGGCATCAAAGTTTATCTTGATAAATGCTCTCGCGAAAACGACTCGGTGAAAAAAAAGTGAG